AGTTCAGTTTAGTTTAATAGTTTTTATCTTTTCTTTAAAAAGAAGTCCAGTGCTTCAAGGTTTCCAACGGTGGTCTAACATCAATAAGTTCATGATCTCAATCAAAAACTTAATAATCTCCACAACCCCAATACTGATAATTAACATATGCTCACTAGTGACAAGCTTCGTGGGGGAATTCTCGGAGTTTCAGTGAGAAGCCGTGATTAGTCGAACTAATCCGTGTCGGGTAGAGACAGATATCTACCTCAGTACAATGGAAAACGGTCGTATAGTTTCGTTGGTTGGTTGATGATAGACATTAACAGTATTGGATGCCGGCTCAGTGGTTCAGTAGGCTAAGCGTTCGCGCGCGAGACCAGTAGGTCCTGGGTTTAAATCCCGCGAGCGGGATCGTGGATGCGCACTGCTGAGGAGTTCCAGAATAGGACGAAACGGCCGTCCAGTTCTTCCAGGTTTCCAACGGTGATCTAACATCAATTGGTTCATGATTTCATTTTAAAAAATATGGAATTCGATACACATGTGCATCAACTCGAATTATCATACAATATCACTACCGTGACAAGAAGTGAACAAAACAAATGTCAGATTAGTAAAAGCAGTGACAGTATTAGTCATAATATCAAATATTAACTATAAACAAAACAATTTGAAGAGATATGAATTCGTGGAATAAAAAGTATAAGATCAAAGAGAAGAATACTAATAATGAATGCATTTACATTATTACAATTAATTTCAAACCATGTTACTAAAGTCTCCAAGCACTGGTCCAACTGGGTACGCTGTATTTATTAACATGGTCATACTTTACAGGAACCTTTTCGATGCAAAATTAATCAAAAGCCATCGAAAAGATAATAAACAGTTGAAGGAAATTCATGCTGAAACAGAATATGAGACTGTTGTAACTGATGGCCTGTACGCCCTGTTAGCGTATAACGTAAAGAAACCGCCAATTAGAGAAACAGTGAATTATCAATCGGACCAATGACGCATAAAACCCGTACAAGAAGTCTAGAGTACTTATCGATCCTGCTTCTTGCCTAGCCCAACCAGTTAAATCCAGAACACCAATCTCAGCCTCTGAAATATGAATCATATATTTCAAACATACTAGGTTTATATACCGACCAGACAGACCTCATCGTACCATAAAATAGGAAACAACATTTGTACAAGGTTAAGCCAAATGTGACTGTGAATAAGGGAGGTAGTAATTGATAAAATGAACCAATGCATATGTGTGCCTAGTCCTACGTTGTAGATGACTGACTGACTGATTGATATCAATAGTTAAGATCATGAATCAATTGGAGCTAGACCACTATGAAAACCTGGAAGCACTGAGCGGCCGTTTCGTCATATTGCGGGACTCCTCAACAGTGCACATCTACGACTCTGCCTCACGGGATTCATGCATTTATAAGTCAATTTAAACCTAGATCAATGTGAAAAATCTGGAAGCACTAGATGGCTGTTTCATACTAATAATATGGGACACTTCAATAGTGCACATTCAAGATCCCACTTTGCGAAGTATGAACCTAGGACCTATCGGTCGTGCATGTGAACGCTTAACCTCTAGACCATTCAGATGATCGGTATCCAACGGTATTCATGTCTAAATTCAACCAATTCACGAAATAAATGAACAAAAAATTTTTTAAATGATGAATTAACTTTTAATGATTATGTTATATCCCGATGAGAATAATGAATGGTAACTGTTGGGATCTTTTTATGGACCATTACTACACATGTATTTTTATTGTATAATTGTTAAATAACTAAATTATTCATAGTCATGTCCATCTTATTTAAAGCTTTATTTCGACCTCTGAACTATTATTATATGATTTCCCATTCTTGAATTATGCCCTGTCTCACATGGCTATGCGTATATAGCCTCTGCCAGGGAAGTCCTACTCACTGACTTCTCATGGCGGGGGTGTTGTTTACAAAAATGAGAGGACGAAAAGCGAATGTCCGGCGCTTTAACCGGACCCCAAATCAATGGTGCACATGGGCTCCAGTATCCTGAAGGAACAAATGGCGTATGAACCAAATTCTTGGTCACCGGCTACCATGGGACTGCATCTCCTCACGATGCTCCTCTGCCTTGTGGGTCAGACATCCAGGTCGAAGGCTCGGGGTGTGGCCCCCTAAGAAAACCTCCTGCTTCGGTTTGGGCACTCGGGCAGTATCACAGCCCTCACACAAATCAATTGAGATTCGTGTGGCGCATATGTATTTGGTGCCTCCTTGTACCAATATCTATATGTTAAAATAAATAAATAAATAACTATCTCCCATATTCACAGCCACATTTGGCTTAATCTTGTACAAATGTTGTTTCCTATTTTATGGTACGATGTGTTCTCTCTGTTCGGTATATAAACCTAGTATGTTTGAAATACATGATTCATATTGCAGAGGCTGAGATTGGTGTTCTGGATTTAACTTGTTGGGCTAGGCAGGAAGCAGGATCGATAAGTACTCTAGACTGCTTGTACGGGTTTTATGCGCCATTGGTCCGATCGATAATTCACTGTTTCTCTAATTGGCGGTATCGTTAAGTTATACATTAGCAGGGTACACAGGCCACAAGAAACCTATTCATAAGATCCTTATTATCATATATCATATAGTACACTTAATATTTGTCATTAACAATTTAAATGCTATTTCTAATTTGATATTTTCCAGGTATGCTAGAAAAATATATTTGATTATCTTTGCCAATAAGCTCTAATCTATTGTGGTTAATTCAAATGTAGGCAAATATTTAGACAGAAAGTATTATTTATATTTTGGAAAATCGAACTACCGACACCTTGATTAAAATCAATAAGATAACAGAATTACTAGTAGAATCGCAATGTATATTTTAAAGGTTAAAACAACACATATTTTTCTATTATATAATAAGCCTATAGAGATTCGTTCAATGAAAAAGTCGTTTGAATAATAGGGATTGACAGATAGTTCGTTCTAATGAGAGGCTCATCAACAGTGCTTACCCATGACTTTATTCGATAGTACTAGATGATGGAGCGGTAACTCAATGATTAAGGTGTCCGACTTTCAGCCACCAACTATAAGGTTTGAACCCGACTCCGCATAGTGTAACTGAGTGACTATAGTTGTTAAATGTGTAGCAGTTAATTACGATTCACTGGTCTAAATGATAATATGGACATGCCGATAACTGAATATCTTGAATTTGAGCTCTTAAGAGTGGAGGGATCTATTATTGATGAATTCCAAACTAGGAAAAAACAGTTACTTAGTGACCTCCGGTTCTCATCCTATTGAAAATTTGTAGCAAAAATCAACTTAAGATTAAAGAATACGATTAAATATACGTGCATGTCAAGGCTATGTTTGCCAGAAAGTTTACAAAGACAAACCTTACGATTCTGGCAAAAGATTACTCGTATAACGATCTTATAAACTGTGGTTTTTTCACCATTGAATGAATCTGTAGTGTTTCAAGGAATATTACAAATATAACATTTTGTTTAACAATCTAATGTAATGTTGATAAGTATTTAATGATGATTAACTTTCAGATGATTTGATAGTAAGATGTCGACAATGTTAGTGTTGGGGACGATAGATCCCCAAAACTCATAGTTTGTAATTTATCTTGTGGAGCTTGTATGCAGATGTATACGTGGGCATTTCTTACCGCCCACGCACATAGTTGATTGACGAACTATCGATTAAATGTTTCAAAGCTCCATGACAATATCGATGTATATATAATTGTATATATACGTTTTGAAATTGTCTTGTAAAAAGTTTGCTGGTTTTCTGGTTGTTACAGAATATACTTTCATTCTAAGCTTGGTCTTCTCACTCTAGATAGCGGGGCTGGGACGCCCCAATAGATAGCTTACTGGACCTTGGTCACCGAATCCTCGATCTCGTTCTCAAACTACGTGAACCCGTGATAGCTCTCTCTCAAAACCTAACAGTTAGAATACTAACATATCAGTGATCTATGACTGTGACACATAGAAAACGAATGTTTACCTGGTATAGTTTCACTACAATATTTTTCAACAATACTATGAGAGGAATTTTTAATGGATAACTAAAACCAGAACTGTGGTTTATAGGATTGAATAGATTATTGATAACAAATCGTCTATAATATTATAATAGTGATTCTCGCGAGTGTGAACTGAAACCAAACAAAATAGAGTAGTGCTTTTGGTCAACCACAACTTGTGAATTTGAAATATCGAATTCTTTTTTGCAAAACCAAGTCAACCCAAAACATACGAAACATTAATATTAGGGATTTCCAACTCCCCTAGGTGGACTCTTCATATTCTACCAAGCCGGCTAAAGCGCCGGACATTTGCTTTTCGTCCTCTCAATTTCGTAAAAAACAACCTCGCGACAAGTAGGCAATGAGTAGGACTTCTCTGGCAGCAGATGTATACGCGTGTCCGTGTGAGAGCATTTCGAGAGACAGCGCTGACATTCCAGACCCAAATCAAGTGACTTGTGTGGCGCATATGTATTCGGTACCCCTTTGTACCAATATTTGTGTGTCAAAATAAAAAAAATGAATCGTCAGTCATCCAGGGCATCTGGGGAAAGAAATCTAAAGTGTTCCTTCTCCTTCTAGTTGTATATAATTGCTAAAAAAAAATAGAGAAATCAGCGAATTTTTGTTTACCATTTTAAGACACTTATCGGCTTATGTGATATCACAAGATGGCATTCATGCGATAAAATTTATGTATTGGTTATAGTGGATGGTAGAAGCATTGTATTTTCTAATGAAATTAACCCTTTTATACTGGCTGAGCTTTTTTACTTTTTTCATTTGAATGCAACATTATTGTGACAGCTCGAATCATTGCGCAATCACGTTGGGTTGGTTAAGACTAAATCAATGCAATAATGTGAACAAAAATCCATAGAAAGATCAGGACATGAGAAATGGGCCGGAATGGAAAAGATAAAACTGAACTTACCTCTTGTGGTACAGCTCCTTTGGGTTTGTCCAAATTTCTGTTACGGAAGGGAGCAGCAGCATCACGGGGATGCATATGAGCATGAACAGGACTATTCTGATTTTTCATTTGTTGAGAATGTAAAGATGGTTGTATACTGGATAGTTGGCTATCTAATCCTAAATAAGAGGACTGTACTTGAGGATTGGTTGTAGATATGATAGTTGAAGGAAGTGGCAAAGATGAAACACCAGATGTTGAGTGAAATTTACTGGACAAGGAAATTGCAGAAAGTGACGGATCCACAACAACATTGGAACCTGCACGTCCTAAAGATGGATGTTGAGAGCAAGCGAGTAGGGATGACAATTGTTTATCCTGAGAAGCAGCTAGCATAGCTGTTGAATATAGACTGGGAGGAGTACGATTTACGTTTTCAGAGCTTTCATCTGTAGAAGTGGAAAGCATCGAATTGTTGTAAGCATTAGCGACACCTGAAGTCTTGCTAACTTCAGATGACATACTTCGGAGTGGAATAGGTGATGAAGAATTTATTGAGTTGGGAACACATGACGGTTGACATGGCGCAAGTAACTCTTCTCGACTGTTGATCACAGAAGAATCCTCCTTTACATGAGAAGCAGAAAATGCAAGACTAGGTGCTGTAGATGTTGAATTTGTTCCTGAAACAGAGGAGAAAGGTGTTAATGAATTGCTATCATCACTGGGGCCATTTTTTATCTGTGATTGTAACTGAGGATTTGTTGTAACTGTATTGGGACGATCATTATGTTTTTGAGTGGTTTCGTTTTTCTGGTTTCGAGCAGGGTCGTCAACGAGCACCTGAGAATCTATAGTACTAGATGGTTTGATCGGGCCTATCTCGCCAACGGTTGTCATACTGTTTGATGTTGAATGACTATTTGCGTTCAACTTTCCAGATTTATTAGGAGTGCCAGCAACAACTTGGGACATAAGAGCAGGAGCAGTTTGATTAATTGAAGCAGCGGATTTTTGTTTACCTGATGAACCTGGTGTATTTGAAGATTTCATAGGTGTACTAGTAGAGGAAGCGGATACATGTGGTAACAAGGAGACTTTATCATCACTTTTAGCCCGTTCTCGGGAAGAAGACGCATTGGATGATGCTGATGACCCAGGATGAGTGACAGACGAATCTGTATTATTTGATGCACTTGTATGAGTCGAAGTTGAAGAGGCAGCATCATCACTCCCTACTCGTTGATTTACCAAGGTAGTACTGGGGGTAATTACACCATTTAAATCATGCTCTTGATTTCCTGTTGCAGTGCCTGATGCTGCAGTTATTCCAGTAGAATCACCTAACTCATCCAAACATAAATCATCATAAATATTCTTAAAGTCAAACATAGACTGATTATCACTACAATCGATCACATATTCAATAGACTCTTGAATAGATCTAACTTTTGTACAATCTAATCGTTCATTATCTAATAAACGCATAATAGTTTCAAGTTTTTCAACATGAAAACAACACATTTCTAAACGCTGACGTTTTTCATCGATTGCTGAAGCTGTTTCTTTATCTATTCTTTTCTTTTTAGTATTATTTGATAAGCTTTCAATCTCAAACTCATATTTTTCTGTCTGTGTATTTAATGAACTAATACACTGTTTTAACCAATCATCTAATTCTTCTTTTTCTTTCTGTAATGGATCTTTTTTCGCTTCAATTGATAATAGACCTTCTTTGGAATAAGCTTTAGTTTTTGTCTCTTTTTCAATTACTTTAAATCGTTCCATATCCTGTTCGATTTCTTTACGTGCTTCTAATAATGGTCGCTTATCTTTCACTTCACTAGCTGTAATCCATGTTTTGATTTGATCTCTCAATCTTTGGAGTTTTTTAATTTCTTTTTTCAGATCGCCCTCAAATTTTTCTTTCTGAGTTGGATTATTCGTACTTTCAAATTTATCTAGTATTTCCTGAATTTATTAGAAACAAGGAAATAAATGAAAATATGCTACAAATGTCAGTGGGTAAAACTACCCACTTTTTGACAATTATATGACATTTATGTAGCCAACGTTGTATATATACTGACACTACAAGAAATTGGTGACAAACCAACAGATAAGCAAAGAGTGAACCGTGTGGATTGTTCACAGAAGTTTGTTGTACTTATAAGAATAATCAAACTTGAACTTCATCATTGTATTTAAGAGACACGGCATGCACATGGCTAATAAAGTCTATTTTTCGGTTTGGCAAACGCCCCTAAAATATAGTTTCGGTTTTAGATCCAAAAAATAAGGCTTCATTTATTAAGCTTGAATTGTCACTCGTTGTATGTTCAAAGAAGCATTAAACCAGAAAAGAATGGTTAATAATAGGAGTAGAAGATGAATTAGAAAGCCAGGGGAGGGTGCAACTGAGAACAAGATTGACTTATATGCTATTAGTAGCGCATGAGCGAATGAAACTTTCTAGTCCACGATACCGTAGAAATATATTTCCAGAATGATAGTAGTTTTACAACTCCAGTGGGTCGTTTTGTTTGTCGTACTAACCATGCGAAGTGCTAATGTTTAAAAAGACAAGTGTGGAATAACTTGATACTTAATGAATATATCCTATTGGATCTAAGAAACATGAATGATCAATCAGTCAAATTACACGCATTTCAATTGAAGTACATGACTTCGTCTAGACACAAACCGATTACCGTAGGGCTTTTATACAGTGTTCAAAGACTTGAATATCAGAAATGACCTAAGTTTCGTTTGAACACGAGAATATACAATAACTTGTAAGCTGTATACTGCATGCAGAGTTCAGTAAACTACAAGATGATCTTCCGAATAAACAGCGCTATATACAAATCATGTAGAATACAAAGAGTTTGAGACAATAAAGTTGCAACTCGTGTTAACTGAAATATTTTTCAGCTGTCTGTTGGTAGTCAAATATTAAAAAGCTCTTGTAACTAAATGAAATGATTTTAAAGCCAAACTTCTACCATAAATATTACATGAACAGTAAATGAGCTAAGAAAAACTTGCGGTCGTACAGAAACACTTTCTAAAAAAGCACAAAATATCGACCTGATATTAATGCTAGTTTTAACACAAAAGGATTCCGTTAATAATGAATATTATTTGAATTTGGATATATAGAATAAGAGCAGTTTCACAGTGAGGCTGTTTCATGCTCAGTGCAAAATATACAGAATGGAGACTCATTAATTATGAGGCAAATATGTAATAGACTGTAGGTTCAAAGTCTTTGTGTTATTCTTAAGTTTTTGTGGACGTGTATTGGTGTTGCGTAACATTCATAAAACATGAACGTAAAACACTAGAAACTTTTCAATACACAATCACCGTCGTTGTAAACTATGCTTCTTACTTAAATGAGACCTAACTAATAGCTAAAACTTATTAAGGTTTAACTTTAGTGACTTTATTTATTTTTGCAAAACGAAGTCTATCAGGGTCAACGAATATCTATAATCACACGAGTGATTATGTAATATTCACTCCAGATTTACGTTTCGTACAAAGATAACAGTATACTTAAGTGGCTCTTGAATAGATATTCGTTGTTTCTATTGCAACATACACAGTACACATGTATACAAATACAGTTTCTAGACGATAAATATATCATTTTCATCAACTATAAACTGCATACAGCTAATATCTTACTAATAACTGATTGCACTACATAAATTAAGACTATACCTGGAAAGCAGTTCTTCCCTCCTGTACTCTCTTAAGATTTCTTTCAATGTCACTTTGCAGTTTCCTTTTGTCGGCCATCCTTCCACAGAGTACAAAGCAACCGCCTCATCGAATAAAGGCAGATAAAGGTAATCGTTCAGGAAACAATGTTATGTTATCAAGCCTAAATTAAATATTTCATTTTTTGTGATAAAACTAACTATTGACGTATGGTTCTTCATCCACATTATTTTTGATACTTCTCTCAACTTTGAGTGCGAAAATCTATAAAAGATATTAGTTGGTCTTCAAATGGTTCAGATGTTTGTGGACGGAATAGAAGAAGCTTTCGCTCAACGGGTTTCTGTGTCTAGTAGCAGTGGATCACCAATACGTTCAATCAGGAACCTAGATAAATTAGCGATAATAGACGAAAAAGAAATTGGTAAATCATAGTAGGATACTATCCTCATTGCTTAAGGATATGTCAAGTTTCCTTTTAAAGGACTCCTAGGAAGTCGCTTAGACTAGCTCAGCCAGCAGCGATGTCCAGATTTTGACAGCTGTTAAGGAGTGAAAGTTGCGTCTACAGTCCACTCCGCTGTATTGTGTCTGCAGTTTCTGGGTGTTACCCCTTAGTTTTATGTTGGAGATAAATTTATGTGAGTGTTTAAGATGTCCAGAAGTGTTAAGGATACTGTAAGCCATTGAAAGGTCGTGTGTACTCTAGTAGTCAAGTTTACTGAATGGATGCGCTCTTAATAAGTCTTGAATTTGAGTCCCCAAACTGATTTCGTGACTCGCCTTTGGAGTGAGGGAGAAAATACTGTTTCTGTACTTTAACTGGGGACCAATGAAACTGTTGAAGATTATGTCGCTCCCAGTAAGACATATCTCGCCATCTGTTTTCGGAGGGATTTGACGAAGGTTTAATTATTTGCACAATGTATGTTCTATTAGCCTCCAGCATGATTCCTTAATTTCCTCTCTAGCTGAAAATGAGTTGTTTCCTGTCACAGTAGGTTAGTGCTGGTTGTGTTCAGTCTATGAACAATAAACATCTTGCTTAGACAATTTTTTATAAATAACTGGCCCATCTTGATGATGGTTGTAATAGTTCTCCAAGTTTTAGCTCCGTACAGTAAAACTGCGTTGACTTTCACATTGAAAATTGTGACTTTGATGTTGTCTGACACTTGTTTTGATCTCCATATGTTCTTCAAATGTAGGAATTCTGCGCTCATCTTTCAACCCTTTCCTTCACACCTGTAATGGATCCTTCTCATCTGTCAGTGATGTCAACCAGATACGTGAAAGTTTTTACCTATTCTAAAGCTTCTCTATCAAGTGTGATTTCGGTGTATTTTGTGTCGTGCCCCAGAATACTCGTTTTTAGCTTGTGAACGTTTAGACTAACAGCTGCAGAGGCTGTTGCTGCACTTGTTGTATTCACCTTAATTTGCTGCTGTGTATGAGATATGAACAATAGGTTATCTGCAAGTTTCAAACGACCTGGCGGCATCCAAGTTGATCTATGTATTCTTTGCTTCCGCGCTTATTTTCCTTTCAGTCCATGTGGCAGTATGATATCTTCATACTCAATGTTTTCCATTCCAACTTGACGTTCACATCTTTACCTAACATGGTCAGATCTTTTATTCTTTACTTCCCCTATTATCAACTGCAGCTGCTCATAGGACTGATCTTTATTTCGTTCATAGCTATCGTTGGTGGTTGCGTAGCACTGAATATCATTCATTCAGATACACTCCTTTTTTGTTTATAAGGATGACTCCGAATCCAAGAGATCCCCATCTTATGACCGTTTTTCGTGCTTCTTTCTAAAGTATCAGAGCAGCTCCCTGTGTGTACGAGGCATTTTCTGCTTCATGACCAGAGTAAACGAACACCTCTCCTGTAGCTAAACATTTCATTTTCAGCTTGTTTTTGACGGTTTCGCTTATTTTGAACACCACAAAGTTGTGTTTTCTTATTTTCACCTTTACTTGAGTGGTCCTCCCGTTCCCACACGTTAGGCTGACATTCCATGAAGCTATATTAATTGTTGCTCCTTTTGTTAGAAGAGGGTATCGGCCTCATGACTCTGGGAAGAATTCCTGCTTTCACCATATGGTGTTATTACTTCTCTGTAGTTGTAGACTTCTAGTTCCAGTACAGATCTTAGCAATTCTATCTGTTCAGGACTTTTTAAGCAAGGTTTTCTTTCATGGAATGGGTTGTTAATTTCATACCCAACTCTCTTATTTTACCTGCGCTTTTGGCCGGCAAATGCTATAGGAAACCTGTAGGAGGAGTTACTTTTCTATCCATAAGTTGTAGTAGCTTCATTTTACAAGATTAATTAACCCGTTCTAGTCACGCGTTTTCATTATCACATAACATAAGTGTGCAAGTGTAAGTACAGTATAAACTTTCTCCCGTATACAAGAAATTATTTTACATCACATTATCCAGCAGTAGGAATGATGCAATCAATCCTGTTTAGCCACCAATCCATATGTTACAGACTGATGATAGGCCGATATTAACCTGAAGGTGGTTTCGTCTTATATATCTCCATATCTAGATGAATTTGTTGTGACAGGAACTAAATTGACGAAGGGTTACACTTGTTTATTAGCACAACTATTTTGCAAGATACACTATGAGCAAGAACATCCATACTTCGATTGATATGGGTAGATTACTAACATATCCTGATAGGCAAACCTCACAGCTCCAGTCTTTATAAATGAATAATAATAGGTTCGGAACTTAGATGATGCTACCTCTGAAACCAGTTAATGTGATTTCAATAAGATTATAATTTGTGTATAAAACAAACAGATTTAAGATTATGGGTCTTGGAACAGAACGCGAAGTTCATTTTTCCTTCTGGCTAAACAGCATTTTTCCACTATAGTTAGTGTCAGTACGTAATGAAAAGCCAGAGTCTAACTATAAAACCCTACGTTGAACTATCAATCTCTATCCCTTATATTGTTCATGGACATCATTTAGCGCCAGTAAGTTGGTGGACATACTCAATGTTATTTTAGAGTACCCAGAAAGTTGTCAATAAATTACAATCTTGCCATAATCGCCTGTAATATACACTCGACTATCCGTCATGCTAACCACTGCCAGTCGCACTCTCTTCGAACACACAAAAGTCACGGTGAAATTGAAAATGAAATATATTTATGTCCTAAATGTGCATAGACAAATTGAAATGACCACAGGGAGAGAGGTGACAAGAAGACATTCTGGCATATTTGTGGTTGACTCCGAAAAGCATCATTGCTTGGCTCCTCATTCTCGGTACATAGACATTCCTAGCCTGGGACAAGATGTTTTATGATGGCAACATGCTGTATGACGTATCGTCATTCATTACAAATCTGAGTATACAGTGCTCCTCGCCAGTCGATTTACTGCCAAAATATTGTATTGCCCCCACAAATTGGCATTGTTTTGTTCATAAAGGTCAGCATTTGGTCAGAATACACCCTACATTTGTGCTTCTTCGGAAATGTCTAGTCTTGTATATATCGACGAAACGTGGCATCTGACTCCACTAACATTGTCCAACAATTCTGTAGCCCAGTAGGCACTTTTGCTGAATGCGAAATGGTGTAGAATTAAGGTCTCCTTCGTTATTAGTATAATTATAATTATAGACCTAATCGTAAAACTGTAAATGTGTTACGATGTGACTGCCTAACCTGTTCAAGTCACATCACTGTTCAAACTGACTCGTTGTATCAACATTATTTCTGGAGTTTGTAAAGAACACATTTAGGCTAAAGATAGAATATTATATTCAATGTAATTAAAAACAAGTTATGCAGGATTACCACGCCTTCAAGGCTGAGTCATTCTATCCGGTTGAATTGAATTAATAATTCGCCTCTTCTCTATTATTGACCTTCTCTTCGTGTCACTTTTTGAAAAGAAATCTTTTCAGTAATCATATGTTCGGCTTCAAAGTTCGTGTGACTAGGTTCTTATGCCACTATAAATGTTCTATATATCTGTCCACTATCTTAGCTAGCACCTCACACTAGAACGAGTGAATATTATCACAGCCTCTTCAGCGTTAGTTACGTTTGAAGATTAAAAAATAATGACTTGTACACTCCATGACATCTACTATTAAACATAGATAACGTGAAAGGTGATGCGAGTTCAGATGTTTATTCGTTACTACAGCAGAAATTGTCGGTCAGTTTTCTATGACAATTCTGAACAGTCTTCAGTTATGGATTGAACGCTTGATGACTAAGAGAAATCAAAAGAGCATTCTTTTAATTACGAAATGAATGATGATCGAGACTAGTGTGGATTTATATTCTCGACATCAATTTTGAAAAAAAAGAAATTGCCCTGTTAACTCTGGATATCCCATCATTACTAACTGTATCCAGAATAGGAGAAGTCAACTTGATTGGTTTCGTAGTGGGGGAGAAAATGTATTCAGAAATAATTATCTTCACCTTTCTGGAGCTCTCGAAATCCGACAAGGAATGTAAGATGACTCTGTGGCTTAACATTATCTCCTATACTTCGTTGCCACAGATGAATGCAAGTTTTCCCTGGGAGAACAGTATGTGAGAACGGATTGAGTCATATTTTAAAGACACCCCACGATTCATCAGTGTCAATAAACTCTTCAGGAAATAATTTTATAAAACTGGTCAACTCAAACCCATCAATCACGATTGACAGACCACGCAACCAGGGCAATGTAAATTATTGATGTTCAGGGTTAAAAGAATAGGTCCATAATAAAGAAATTATTGCCTTTCATACAACCACCAGCTTTCTTTTATTTTATTATTTATTTTTTGGACAAAACGGGACGTAAAAAATTCCAGTATTAAATAAGTGCAAAAATTACTGTGTTCTGAGTTTTATTCCATAATCCTGAAGCAAAAAAGTTGAAAGCAAGTGGATATAAAATGTTGAGATCAGTGTATTTTATTTACTTAAATTATAAGGAAAATTATGCTGATTAGTTTTGTAGATCGTTAACTTAGATTATCTGTGTCGAGTGGTTTGGGGCTTGCTCAAGATAGATTGGACTGGTGCAACCGTCA